AGAAAGGAAAGATACAAGGGAACTCTGAAAGAGTCCAATGCTATGAATGCCAAGGATTTGGCCACTTTGCTTCAGAATGCCCCACTCGTTTGATCAATGTACTAAAAAACTAACCCAAAAATTTAAGTTTCATATCTGGATTTTTGATTTGGTCTGCCAAATCAAGCATTGATTTCTGATCATCTGTTAGAACATGAATACTAGGACTTTCAAGGTCCAAGCCATTCATTTCATCAATAGATTTCCAATAATTAATTTCAGAAATCTAATTCAGGTTTGTAGAACATGGGCAATTTAATTCTGGTTCTTCAACTTCTTCATCAGAGGTTGATGGAGAATAAAGTTCTGCAATACCATCTGATGTAGAATCAGTTTCTGATTCTTTTTCTGCTTCAAAAGCTTGGAGTATCTGTTGAGTGGTTTGAGGATCTAATGCTAATTCATTAATTTTAGTTTTTAATTTAGATCTACATCTGTTTGCATAATGTCCTGTTGCTCCACACTTATAACATTTAACATCCTTTTTAGGAGGTCGTTTTGTGGGCTTACTTTTTCGGGTTTGAAGAGAAAACTTTTTCGAGTAATTACTAGATTTGGATTTTTTATGCTGTTGGGGATATTTTTTGGTAAATTTCTTCGGGTAAGATTTTCTGGTCTTATGGTATTGGAGTTTTGTATCATAGGCAAATTGTTCACAGAATTCACCTAACTCTTTCTTTTCTGTAAGATTCTGTTTTTTAAGCTGATACTGTAATTTAAGGTCATTACAAAGTGCAAGACCTTCTTCAGTGACTGTATGTAACAACCCTCATACTGTTTACTGATTAATGACTGATTGATTACCGATAATCACCGATTACTGTTAAACGATAATGACTGATGACTGACTGAGAATTGAACTGATTAAAGTACTGAACTGACTGACCGAAATTGAAACTGAATTGAGTGAATACATCTGTTTGAATTGCATTTTATCTGTTGACTGTTTGTTTGATCTGTTCGTGTTTATGTTTAAACTATTAATTGAAGGCCTTCTCGGCGGCCGAACCGGAAATGGGTTAGTGTATTATGATCGTCATATTTAATATGATTTTATGGTATAATTATCTGAAAACTGATTAGGTACGATTAAATTAGATTAAATATTGATCAATTGCAGAGTTGGCCTTATTTACCGAACTACCCCTAGTGGACCACTATCTCACACACACACTTGAGCCTTATACATTGAATCAAACATTTCTTTAGCCTATTTGTGAGACCCTTAGCCGACCATAGAGAGAGAGAGACTTGAGGAGTTGAGTTCATCTCAATATTGCTTAGAATTTGAAGAGAATTGAAGTGTAGATTGCTAAATTGAGCTCCTAGCCTTCTAATTCAAGACTTAAGGTAGAGTAATTACCCTCTTGCTTATGAATTGAGCTTGTTCTTGCATGATTCATGTCAAATAAGGTGCTAAGTCTTGTTTTAGTTCATACATGTTATTGAGGGGGAGCCTCCGTCTTTACTCACCAAATACCCCTTGATTGCTAGTGGTTTGACTTTTCTTTGTTGTGCTTAGATTCTCTTGTCGAAGGTCCAATTTTCATATCACTACTAGGATTGAATCTAGTGTTTGTCGAACTCCAAGAGTCACACACACACTTTTATCATGGGATCTATACTTTTCACATAATGCATCACTTTCTTTCATGAGGAATCTTCTACAGACTGTGCACATTATGTTTACTAGTAATTATGCTTCTTGGATAGTCTTGTGTGTTTTAAGGTACTAATCTGAAATTTCTTGCTTGCTCCTTCATAATTTTTGTCGTTTTCTTCTTGTTTACTGTTTTCAGTGTTTGTGGTTCCTTTTAGTGAGGGGGAGTTTGGTTCATCTTGACTTGGGTTGGTTTATGATCTTGCTTTTATTGTTTGAGAGTTATTTTTCATGAGTCTTAGTTTTCATCTATTCATGTTTTCCATCTCATGTTTCAAGATAATCGTGTCATATGTCTATTGCTTTTTCATATACTCTTGTGGGACTAATAGTTGTTTTGGAGATTATGGCACTAATAACTGTTTTGCAGATCAAGACCTTGAGAAAAAAGTTGGGTTTTGTTGGCTGTAATGGGTTGGGCTGTTTAGGATTTTATTTGTTAGGTGTGTTTTGTCACGGCATTGTCAAAGGGGGAGATTGTTAGGTTTTATTCTTGGCAACCCCATTTGACAAAACTTTTTTCAGTTGTATTTGTTTTCGCACCTTTTATTTCAGTGAGGTTATGAGTTTATTAGATGCGAATCCAACCCGAATCGTGCCTTTGTCAATTTCCATGGATCAAAACAGAGGTTGTAATAGGATCAAGTTTTTCAGATTTTCCAATTTTGGTCGTCCCGCTCGAGCGGGGATTGTAAGCTTACAGCATCTCTGTTTCGCCTGAAAAAGTACTGGGTGGTGTGATTCAACGCTCGAGCGTGGGGACATCCGCTCGAGCGTGAAGCCTATATGAATCACACAATTTTGAAGCCTCCGCTCAAGCGGGAATTACCACGCTCAAGCGGACCGCGCGAACACAGATTCTTGGATTTTTATAAGGAATTGGTTTTTTTCCAAAACTATGATTATTTTGAATTTCTATGAGTAGTTGGTTTTTCTCCCAAAACTTGGACAAGTCCTCCAGATCTTCTTTTTGGATTCTAAAGTTTATATTTGGGGATTTTTTGCTAGTTTTCTTTGATATTTTCATTGAGTATTCAACTCATGGTTTAAGAAGCTGTTGGCTTATTTTTTCCTACGAAGGAAAATATCATAAATGCGAGCGTGCCAGCAAGGATTGAAAAATCCTTACAGATTAAATTCAAGCCAATTATCAAGCGATTGTGTTGACGGTTCTTTTGCCTCAACGAAGAGGACTTCAAATTTGCCAAAGTGTAGAGAAAAGAAAAATTAAAAGAAGAATGAGGGGCGGAGAAGGATGATTGAGTGAACAATCAAAGTGATAATTACTTACCTTTACTCCTATGCTTCGAAAAGGAAGTGCATGAAATGCTTCGAAATGAAAGTGCTGAAAATAAATGCTTCGAAATATAAATCTATGTTAAACTACTCCTAAGATAAGGAAAATGACAAGAAATATTGAAATCAAATGTCTTTGATTATCAGTCCTGGATCCTTACAATGTAGCCATTAATGGCTATTTATAGAAGAAAAAATACAGCAATAACTACTTAGTAACTACCCATTTCTTCCATCTTCATTTTTGTCTTGCCATGTGTCCTTCCACTCATCCACTTTGTCCTCCCACTCATCCACTTTGTCCTCCCACTCATCCACTTTGTCCTTCATATTCTTCATTATCTCAATAACTTCTTTTAACTTCCAAATGAATAAGAGGATGCCACGTGTCCTGCAATTATATAAATAATAAATAATAATAAAAATTGCAGATTTATGGTGTTAACAGAAGCATACATTAAAGGTTTGTTTGTTTGTTTATTGTACTCAAAAGAGAAAGTTGTTCTTCGATGGATTCTGAAAAATTCGAGCCTGAAGCTTTGGTGGATTCCGGAGTGGCTCATCGTTAAGACAATTTCGAGGTGAAGACGGGGTTGGAAGAGGCACATAGAGGTTGGTTCAATTCGGGTTGGTTCAATTCGGGCGTGGATTCGTTAGGTAATTGAGAGTATACCTGTGTAATTCCTTTATATCTTCTTAGTGAATTGTTTTGTGGCTGTTGCCCGTGATTTTTTATCATAATTTGAGGTGTCCAATTATGATTTTTCTACGTAAAATCGTTGTGTCTATTTGTCTTGATTGTTTGATTGAAATTGTTATATATTGTTTAAAATTGATACATAATCACAAATCAACATTTAAAAGATTTCTAAATTTTTCAATAACAATGCAATAAAAACAACTCTATAATTTTGGTTGTATTTAATGTATATTTTTTATTTCATTTTCAATGCCATGCATGCGAGATGGTACCGTGAAAAGTTGACGCTGAATGTGTGCATGATATTTTTATTTTTTTAATCGCAAACTATCTCAAAAAGTTTCCTAAATATGTAACCATACAATAATAGTACCTGGTACAAACATGTACAAAAGTACGTGCACTTTAACTAGTTACACTACAATTATGAGATTTAGGATATTTTGAGAAGATAATTAAAAATTATTTTTTAATTTTTTGGTGAAAGAGAGAAATAGATTAAAAATTAAAAAGCTTCTGTTTGGGAAGTGGGTTGACTTTTTGACTTTTTTGGCTATTTTAGCATGGGTTAAAAAGCTTGGTTTGGGAAGGGCTTTTTGACTTTTTAGCTTTTTTGACTTTTTTTGTGAGAGAAGAGTGTAATGATTATGGGTTTGATGTAATGTTTTGTTTGTTATAGCTAAAATAACCTATTTTATTTTTTGTGGCTAAAATAGTCAAAAAAGCCCAACCAACTTCTTCCCAAACGAGTTGAAAATAATTTTCAACTCACTTTTTAAAGTATGCCTTATTATATATATATATATATATATATATTTAAATTTCATTAATGGCCAATCTAATTTAGTCAATATAAAATTATAAAATCATGAAATCCAAGGATCTTCTGTTCTTAAATAATTCTGTTCTTCTATCCTAAATTACTCACAATTATTAGATATATTTTAAATTTTTCACATCTTAAAATTTTTATACAATTCAATGATAATTCAATGATAATAAGTAATTTAAAACAGAGGGACAAAAATACGTAGGAATAAAGTAGCCTTGCTGAATCATGGGGTACCAAAAAGAGCAAGGATCCTCTAGAGTGATTTTTTCTTAAAGTTTCCTAAAGTGTTACATTGTGTGGTTGAGATTTACTAGCAAGTCACATCAATTTTTCTAATGTGACTTACCAGTAAATCTCAACCACACAATATAGTACTATAAGAAACTTTAGAAAAATTTCATATCTTTGGGCCGAGGAGGTCAAAATGACGGACTGTACACGATTTGGGCCTAAAAGGACCAATTAACATCTCTTCGTTCGTAAGTAATATAAGCCGGCAGTGAGTGAGTGAGGTAGTCGAGAAAACTCTCTCTCGTCCAAGCCACAGCCAAGCAAAGTAATCTCATCTAATCTACAAACGAAACACATCACTGGCGATGGAGACGGAGACGGAGACGGAGACTTCCAATCATCAGTGCTATTCTCTTCCGACCTCCTCCACTCATCATCATCATCATCATCATCGGTACTACTCTCGTCGTCTCTTACTAGTAGTCATTCTTTATCTGGCATCGGCATCGGCGTCGGAAGATTTAATCATATCAAGATTCCAACAATACCTCCAAATCAACACAGCCCATCCAAACCCCAAGTATTACGAAGCAGCCGATTTCATCCTCTCTGAGGCCAAGTCTCTCTCCCTCGAATCCCAAGTCTTAGAGTTGGTCAAAGGCAAACCCCTCGTCCTACTCAAGTGGCCTGGCAAGAACCCTAAGCTCCCTTCCATCCTCCTCAATTCCCACACCGACGTGGTCCCCGCCGAGCATCATAAGTGGTCCCATCCTCCCTTCGACGCCGACCAAGACCAAGGAGGCCGTATTTACGCCAGGGGATCTCAGGACATGAAGTGCGTAGGCTTGCAGTACTTGGAAGCTATCCGCAAATTGAAGAGCTCAGGGTTCCAGCCCCTCCGCACCCTCTACTTGTCCTTCGTCCCCGACGAGGAGATCGGTGGCCACGACGGTGCGGCGAAATTGGCTGATTCCGAGACTTTTCAGAATATGAATGTTGGGATTGTGCTGGATGAAGGCCTGGCCTCCCCCGACCAGAATTACAGGGTGTTCTTTGGGGAGAGGTGCCCTTGGTGGCTGGTCATCAAGGCCACTGGTGCTCCTGGACACGGCGCCAAGCTCTATGACAACACCGCCATGGAGAATCTTCTCAAGAGCATTGAGAGCGTTAGGAGGTTTCGTGATGCTCAGTTTGATCTTGTTAAGGCTGGCTTCAACCCCGAAGGTGAAGTCATTTCCGTTAATATGGTCTTTCTTAAAGCTGGCACCCCTTCTCCCACTGTAAGTTATCTATCTATCTATCTATCTCCATCTTTGCTTCATATCTAATCCTGATGATGATGATGATGATGATGATGATATCATATTATTCTTGTCTTCCACTCAAATAATTATTTAGAAGAAACTGCCTCTTCCAAATTTTAGTTGGAAAACCTGGTTGGTTAATGAAATTCTAGCCTGTTTTCTATCCCACTGTGTTTATTCTGTTTCCTTATCAGGGAAAATAAAATAAAAAAACTAATAATCTATTCGCAAAGGGCTTCCTACTTCATTTTACCTGCTAGATTTCCAGTTTAATTGGCTACTAGCATAAGACTGTTTGACATTTGATTTGAAGTGACAGATTTTGTGTGTAATGAGATTTGTATTGTGCTGTTATGTTATTATTCGAGATTGAATAATAAGCACCTCAAAAAGTTTTTTTCCTAGCTAGAGTAGCGTTTTTAACATGCAGTTTCATTTGCAACTTGAAAAATTAATTTCTAGGTAGAGTAGTGTTGGTTAATTTCTCTTGGGTCATGGCAGCGAATGATATCTATTATTAAGAATTTGAAGAGAGCTATAATTTGACTTCTTTCTTCTCCATCAGGGCTTCGTCATGAATCTGCAGCCATCTGAAGCAGAAGCTGGTTTTGATATCCGAGTCCCTCCTACGGCTGATCCAGCATCTCTGGAGAGACGAATTGCTCAGGAATGGGCACCGGCTTCACGCAATATGACATTTGAGGTAGTAAAACAATTATGAGTTCATTTTCTTTCTAAACCAAATTAGCTATACAATATTACAAAAAAGAAACTGTTTATTCTGTTGACAAAATTACAGATGATTACTGTGTGCTCGTGCATTTTAAATATGTAGTTTTATGCCCTTGGGCAGAAATGTGAATCTCTGGACTTTAAATGTGTCTCATACCCATAATCACTTATATTCTTCACTGTTTCTGTCTTTTTATTTAACTAATTTGTTTTGTGAAGTATGAATCTTAGAAGAGACACCATTGCAACTTTAGATCTTGCCACTGCTTAGAGTTGGACCACAATAGCTTACTTGCCTCTGGTGCAATCTTGTGGGGTGTACTTTAAAGTGATGTGGCCTTCAAATCTATTTTGAACACATTGATCTTTAACAAGGAAGATAAAAGATATTTAGATTTTGGAAGGGAGATGTGGAATATAGTGTGACAAAAGGGTATAATACGTGACATTAACTAAATACAACAAACTTTTCTCTTTTCCTATGAACCTGCAACAAATATACTGCTCTTGGGAATTTGATATTCCTGTTTTGGACCCATCACATGTGGGTTGTTTCCATTGCACATTTTCCTAATTTGGCTTGCAACTTGGGCAGTTTAAGCAGAAGGTTTCAGTTTATGACAAGTTTGGGAAGCCAATCCTCACAGCTGCTGACAGTTCTAATCCGTGGTGGGCACTGTTAGAGGGAGCTGTCAAGAAAGCTAACGGAAAGCTTGGAAAGCCTGAGATCTTTCCTGCTTCCACGGATGCTCGCTACTTCCGAGAACGGGGCTTGCCAGCAATTGGTTTTTCTCCAATGGCGAACACTCCTATTCTACTTCATGATCACAATGAGGTGAGCTGAGAGCATCTTATCTTATAATTTTGGTTTGTTGTTCCATAGATTACGTGTTTATTTTGCATATTCATGTTTAAATTGTATCAATATGCACACCATAGATTCACTTGTTTGATGTGTTTACAAAATTATATGAATGCTGCAAGTGTAGATCTTTGAAGAATTATTCTGAGAATGGGATCTGGTCAGTCATTAATGGCTTTTTGTGTTAGAACTAAATAAATAATAAATGCATGCATATTAATATTATAATTTTTACTGCGCTGTGGTTCGACTGTTAACTTTTTCTCATCTCCCCTCATGGTAGATTTTGCACCTTATTGTAGACTAACTGTCATATGTCCATTCTATTGCAGTTTTTGAGCAAGGATGAGTACTTAAAAGGCATCGATATATACGAGTCAATAATCAGAGATTATGCAGCTTATGTTGAGCATACAAAAGATGAAGCTTCTAGAGAGGAGTTGTAAAGTAGTGGCACATCCCTTGCCCCCTCCGTGAGATGAAATTTTGGACATCAGTTTCTGCCACAGGTATCAGAGGAAGGGAGTTGGAAATTGCATGATCGCTGAATCAGAAACTTCAGGGAGCAGTGGGTTTGTCAATCACCAGTGCCGAAATGGGGCTGATTTGCCATGTCTACTTCTTGATGGTGTACTATGAACTTGTTTTTATTGCAGAAATAAAATGACTCCCTCGGATATTTTATTTGCATTTCGCAGTGGACTCTGTAGTCTGTACTTTGTAAATAGATGCATAGAGAAACTAGTAGAGATGGATTGCATGTTTTCTTTAGTAATTTAACAGTGGCTAAAGAGGAAAATGACTCTTTTCACATTTCTAAGTTACAATATCGTGGGGCCTATCCCAAAGCTAGTAATGGCATTAAACAGGACCTAACCTTTGAAAAAACTGTGTATTGAGAGAATCAAACTAACTTGTGAACAGATTTGCGGTTTTTCCGATATTTTATTTTTTATTGTTCGCTTATCAGAACTATATCGAACTCGTCTCCTAATCCAATACGGTGAAACGAATATGGTCTCCAAACCAACTGATTCAGCTCCACGTTGATTGCAACAATTTGTGGGTGGTGACTAATCTGTTAATATGAAAGCATGCATCTGAAGAAGGCTCCTCCCAGATAATCGAGATAATTTGTATTATTATTATTATTTTGGATTACTATTATTATTGTTTTGGTTTTAATTGCACATCGGGAATTGGAAGATAAGGGGGGGGGGGGGGGGGGGGGAAAAGGTTAAAGAACTTGGAAGATACTTAACGGAGTGGTGGAGTAGCTGAAGAGGCACTGGATGCGGACATTCAAGACAGGATCATGACGGAGAGGGAGATGCGAAGCTACATCCACGAGTGTCAACGCCAAGTCTCTGAGCGTGAAGCCTCCTGGAAGTCCGAACTTTCTCATCTCAAGGTAACTAACCATTAATTATACCCCCAATCCCATCCCTCCTTCCCTCCCTTTTTCCAACATTCTTTCCATTTCTTCCATTCCTTGTTCATATATGAATATTTATATGATTGTTCTGCAATGCAAGGGTTGGTTCCTTTCCCAGCCGTGAAATTCATTTAATATAAATTTACTTCTCTTCTTAAAGATATTTCAAAGCCTTAATCTGTGCTGTGATTATGTTGATGCATCAAACTTATTTATCAAAAAAAAAAAATGCTGATGCATCAAACTTACCACACATTCATTCACCTTCATCATTTGAGTTTGACCCATTTAAGAGGCAAACCAGTAGAGCTTATTAGCCTTTTCAGTTAGCTCATTATACCTACGGAAACTCAATTCCTTTTATATATGTCTATTTCAATTAGAAGAAATATTTAACTGTAGATGCTTGACTGTATATATATGTATTCCTTTCCTAAAATCTTCTCAAATTCACAATGATGCTTCTTCACGAGCTTTGTTTTGATTTATTATTACAAAGATTGGCCATCATTTTTAACAAAATTCTTCAGCTCAATTATGCTTCCAGTGCAATAATTTGCATAGACAGAAGCTTACAGAATCTTCATGACAAATGGCCAAGTCTCCTTTTCTGCCTAGCCAGTGGGAGAGTTACTGTGAATATGTAGCTGTTTAACCTATGCATATATAGTAGCAAATATAAGAATCTGTAAAAGGAAATATTCGTTGTTAGGATATTTTACACTGAGTGTTTGCTGGCTGCATGGAATAGGTGAATTGGATGATTTTTCTGAATTCTATACCATAATTGTCTAAACCGAATGGGTTGGCATCCACCTCTGCTTTGGACAGGAGATTCCTGTATATTGTGATAAGAGTGTTAGAGAAAAGAGAGTTGCATTGGGAAGTTGAGAGTCATCATGTAATCCTTATTGAGCATAGTGAATTTGTTCTCCCTCTCCGCCATGGAAGTAGGCAACCTCGCCAAACTACATATATCTTGTGTTCTTGTTTTTTTGTGTGCACTTGTTCTATTATTTGCTGCTTTATTGTGTGATCGGAACCACAATTCTGCGCAACACTATCATACCAAATAATCCTTTTCATTGAGGATGGAAGAAACCAGTATATTAAACGTATTTGATACTGTACTGAGCATTTGTTATTAAGAACATACCTGTCCTATACCATTCAACATCCAGCTTCAGTTATGTTGCCAATTTGGTGTTCTTGATGCTTTGTTATGAAGTGAATTGGTAGGACATATGGAGGACCGAATGTCCTTGGAGTGGGAAACCACAAACCACAAGGGGATTATGTGGTCATTTTCAAATGTTAGGAAGTAAACCGTACATAGTCCAAACCACAGGGGGTTAAAGTGAAGTTTGCCCTTTTTTTTTCCTTCACAAATTTCTACATAAATTCAAGATCCAAACACAACCTAAATTTTTTCTAAAATTTCTTATCAATGCCCTTAGCATGGCAAGTGACTCCCATAGAATTGAAAGGCTCATTCTCAAATATTATTTTACTACTGCAACTTTCTATTGCCCCAAAATTGTTGTAATGTACTACTGTATCTTGCAGTGTTTTTACACAATTCATTTTATTTCTTCTCCCTTTTTCCTGTTTTACATGAAAGAAGACCATGAGTCCTGCTATATGAGGCAAGGGTAAATCATACCAAAATTTTGTGAATAGCTTCATGTAGAAGATTAAGGTTTGTATTTTTCCGGATAGTGCTTTGAGAGCTGAGCGTTAATTTTCTCACTCATTTTCTACTATACTCACCCCTTGAAAGGGTTGTATTATATGCATCCCTAGCTATGTCATTTTTTTTTTCTTTATTTATAATCAGTTTTCTTCATTAGTTATGACTCAGAAGATCTTGGTTATACCTCATGTGGTGTTTGGTTATGATTTTTTTTTTTTTTTTTTTTTTTTTAGTTATGACTTAGAAAGTATGGAATTATGTTATTTTCTTCTTTAATTATAAGGTGCATGTGATACACACCCTTTAGTATTTCCCTACGTATTTCCCTACGTATTTACTCTTTAACAATTTGTAGAAAAGAGAACTAATTATTAAAGTATACCCTGGATCAGGATGGCAATGAAGTGGTGAATATGAACCAATGCTATTCGGGCCCCCTCCCTTTCTCATGCTGCTAAGCAAGGAAAAGCAATGGAAAAAGGAAATATGGAAGTTATTAAAAAGGTAGCAGAAGCCTTGGATGAAATAGGAAGACTGACAAAAAAATGGTGGCAAAATTATGTTAGGGCATCACTGTTTTGGTTTTGTTTCATACAGAACTGTATATTTCTGCCAAATGAAACTTGTTGACTTACTGGTAGCTTCATGTCATGGACTGGGCGCTTGTCTTCCTCCCGAAAAGTCGGCTCCATAAGTGGTACTGCGTACCCCGTGCATTATGTCCAAGAACCAACCTAGGAGATGCAATAGGGATCTACCCTACCTGCCTTGCCGCTCACAAACTAATGCACTTGCAAGGTGCTCGGTGTAGAACTCGCATCCCCAATGAGTCAGTACATGACATTCAACTCCATATTAATTGGTCACTGAGCTGTTCAACTTCAGCTTAATTAAACTTGGTCTGAACTGAATCCAAGCCCAACTAGGCTGTGATACCCCTGTTCCATAATATGCTAATTGGTCCTTAATTTGAATATAATTATGTGTTTAACATGATTTTGTATGCCATTATGTGAATGTATGTGATTTTGGATTTCTATCTGTTCACCGTAGGAATATCTGTCTGAATAATCTGCTTTGGAAATTAAATTGAAGGCCTTAGAGGCCACGGAACCCGAAACGTCATTGTGAAGCGTAATTTTTAGAGCCTACGGTGAAATTTAATTGAAAAATTGATTCGGACCAGATTAAGCTGATTAAATTGATGAATAAGTGCCTAATTACTCTATATTATTATATTATGACTTAGTAGGGCACTATACACTCAAATACCCTCTTTGTTATTCTTCTTGGCTGAATTAAACTCAAGAAATAGAGAAGGGAGTCGGCTAGAGAGAGGGAAAAAAGGAGAGTTGGGTGTTTGGCTCAAATTTGTGAAGAATTGGAGGATTAAACTCAAGAAATTGCTATAGTTTGGAAGATTGAGCCTCTAAGTAAGCATTTGGTCTTGAATTCATAAGTTTGAAATTGTGATCTTGTAAGTTCAATGGTTGTTTGTGATCAAGAGCTGTTTGTGATCAAGAGCATGCAATGAGTTGATTTTGTTAAGTTTGAAGTCTTAGAACTCATGCATGTAGGAAATTACTTTGAATTTGCATGTTTGTGCTTGAAACACGTGATTCATGTAGAGTTTTGGTTGAAACTCATGTTTTGATCACCATTTGTGTTGTCTAAGTTGAGAATGTGGCAATTCATCACATGCATGTACAATTTATGAAGATATGAACTTGAATGTATGAAATTGTTATGTTAGAATGAGTTTGATTGGAGATTGGGGCATGCATATGAATTATTTGTGAATTGAGCTCCATTGGGTCGTGATTTGGGGTTTACATCATGTTAGTATGATTATATTTGAGAATTGGGCCATAATATGCATGATTTGTTGGTTAAAAATCGAATTAGAGCTCAAGAACTTAATCTGGAAAACCCAGATTTTTTATGTCCGCTCGAGCGGGGTGACTGCCGCTCGAGCGGGAAAATCGTGCTCCCAGCACTTTTTGTAGAGTTGGATGTCCGCTCGAGCGGGATATTTCACGCTCGAGCGGGGAGTTTTTGTAGACAGGCCTTCCGCTCGAGCGCCCTAACCCACGCTCGAGCGTAATTTTGAAGTAACCAGTACTTTTGCAAGCCTCTTGGGTTCGCTCGAGCGGGGAAGTCCAAGCTCGAACGGGGACCCTGTTTTCTGAAATTTTGTTCATGCGTTCTGTGTTTCGTTTTCTGTTCTCTTTCACTTGTAATCACTCTTAGACATGTGTTAAACGTTGTAAATGAGTTAATGAGATAAGAATAAAGCCTAAAGAGGAATATGTGAATTAAAGAACGGATTGAACTGTTAGTGACCCTTTTGTGTTCATGAAATGTGTAGGGTCAAGCTCCAGGGCAAATCCGCAAGCCGATCACTGTGAGTAATATGAATATTCAAAAGTTTGTCAATGTCCAATTGTTTATTCCATTATAAACTTTATGAGTTGCTAATTGGGATTGTGGACAAAAGTCTGACATGAATAAATGAATGGACCAAAGGTCATTTTGACAGAAATGAATGGACCGAAGGTCGTTTTGACAGAAATGAATGGACCGAAGGTCGTTTTGATAGAAATGAGTGGACCGAAGGTCGTTTTGACATATATGAATGGACCTAAGGTCGTTTTGACATGAATGAGTGGGCCGAAGGCCGTTTTGACATGAACGAGTGGGCCGAAGGCCGGAATGTTTGGAACTACAGTCACTTGATTTGAATTTCGTATAGTTATATATCTGTTAAATAGAAGTATGAATTGGGTCCAAGACCGTTTAGAGCATATTGTTCTGCATATTATTATGTAACCTCTGTATTTGATATTATTCACTGGGCTATTGCTCATGCTCATTTATGTGTTTGTAGGTGAGCTAAGAGAAGTCCAAACCCAGCCCCAGTGAAGTCTGTCAGGAATAACAAAAGTTTTGAAGGGTCAGCCCTTGTGTCTCACGCACGAGACCCATCATTGCCACTTTGTTATGTATTTATATTTTGTCTTGTTAGCAAGGACTTTGTGTATATCTGTATATAGTTTTGTTATGGGTTGACTCGGTTTGGATGATCCTATCTGTAAAGGATTTTACGGTAATGTATTTTGATATGGGTTATTAACGTACATGTGTATGATTTGTTTTAAAGTGCATATAAGCATGGCTCTATGGACAAAGTTTTTAATTATTGCTTCCGTTTGGCCCCTTTACTCTGTTGAGTTATGTCTGATTTTGGTTTGAGGTCGTAGGTAATCTCAGGATTACTGGCCGGTTATGTCCTTAATCCATAGGGGCGGGTTCGGGTCATGACATAGGCTGAGCCTGGTTTTCACATGCTTGGTCAACCTTGCTCATGTACCAAATGGATTTGGTTTTTAAAGTGCCATGTTTATTTCAAATCCATGTGAAGCCATATTGAATGTGTTATTATGCTATTTTGTAATCCTGATAGGTTGCAATTAATTCATCTTTACTATCTGTTATAAGTTTTGAATTTGATATGCTTAATTGTTACCTAGATAGTACTCTTTCGTATTGGTTTTAAAAGGTGCTTCGAATCTACCTTATTTTAGGTTGCCTGGAGAGCTGCACAGTCCAACAAGGCTATCTTCCACATTACATCTTGTGGTAGTTTGCACATGAACTGCTACTTTTTAAGCCTGTTTTTGTTTAGAAATTTATGTAAACATGGATAGGAGTGAAGTCTCTGTACAAATGTGTTTTTGAAGTATAACTGATACAGACTAGTCTTTTCATCTGAGTCAAAATTTCATATGTTGTTGGGGATGATGTTTTGTATTATAACTTCTCAAGACATTGTCTCATCTTACAGGCAAATATTGCTCGACAAGAAGCAAGGCTAAAGATGGAGTGAGAAAACCTTGAGAAAGAGAAAAGTGTGCTAATGGGAACTACATTGAACCAAGATAGCCAAGATGGAGCTCTTGAAATCATGGTTAGTGGAGAAAAATATCAATGTGCCAGGTTTGCAAAGGCAAACAAATGAGGCTTTACAGGGATGGATTTAGTTAGAAGTGTGACACCGTCGATCCTGGATGCTGTTCTTTCTTAGCTCACAGAGTAGCCACTTCATGATTATGAATCTTCATCTTATTGAAGGAATGGTGGTACATTTAGAAACTGGTGGTACATCTAGAATTGTAGTGATCTATTTTAGTGAAGGAATGTTACTCTTTTAACTTTGCCTGCGAGAACTCTAGCGTGAAATACCATGGAGAACGAGTACATTGTACTTCTCGACTTATAAAATTCTTTAGTTGAGGAAGAGTCATCCAATCTTGTGTATTTTAGTTAAATATGGTCCAAACAGGTTTTCTTTTCTTTTTCTTTCTTCTCCTTTAGTTTTTTTTTTTTTTTTTTTTAAACAATTGCCTTCGAAACAATGTACAAAAGAGGAATGCTTTTGGTTTCAGTTTTCTGAATTCAATTTTTTGAAAATTGAATTTTTTGTTTTTATGCTTTTTTTTTTTTTTTTAGTGATAGTGAATATTTTTAAAACTTTAAGCAATTTTTTTTTACTTTTTTAGATGCACTTTACTTATATGTATCTAAATAGTAAAATATTTATAAAAAATATTTTTTTAAATTAATAATTACACAAAAATATATTAAAAAATACTCGGGATTATTTGAGGTGTCCTAAATAAGTGCACTTTTTGAATTTTTAGACTAAAAAGTTGAGGAAAACAAGATTTTGTTTGAGATAATTTTTGGACTTTTTATGAAAAAATGTGTATTAAAAAATTGTATAAATTAGTGTATAAGAGAAGATTGGGATGGAATAGGCGGTACGGTGGGATGAATTCAGGACCGCCTGTGTAGAGTTAGGCTGGGATATGATTCCCTGCTTTTCGAGTATTGAATTGGAGGTGTTGTTCATCCCGTGGGGGCCCACCATAGGTCCTGTTTTGCTAATCAAAACCGTTGAATGTGTAGAACTTATCGAGTACTATATACTTATAAAAAATCACGTTGATCGGATATTGATAACTATCTGATCACATTAGTTTTTTTTTCAACCGTTAACTATAGCACCATCCATTTTATAAATTTTAATTGATTTGATCATATAATTACCAATATCCGATGAACGGGATTTTTAACAAACATATAGTACTCGACGAGTTCTACATATTGAATGGTTCAGATTATTAAAACAGGACCCGTGATGGGCCCCCACGGGCCGAACAACACCGTGTTATTTGTGCACCTAAATAAGTACAATTTTTCCAAAACTTCAGGTCCGCCTGTGGGTCGTCAAAGTTGTCTGAAATTTAATTATGTGTAAAATTAATTTTTTAATATTTTTTTGGTAAATAGTGATAACTTTTTAATTTTTTTGCTTTTTGTCTTTTTTAAGACATGCCAAACTAGCCCTAAATTTTCCTATTTTTTTGTATTTAGTGTATTTTTTAAAGATTTTTTTTTCAAAAATATTATATTTTTAAGTATATTTATGTTAGGTGTGTTTAAAAAAAATTTTAAAAAATTGCTTAAAATATTAAAAAATCATTGAAAATATTAAAATACGGGAAATAAAAAAAAGAATTTTCTAAAAAACAGAATCAAAATATTTTATTTTTGGGACATTCAAGTCCTATTAATTTTTTAATAGTCGAAATTATCCTTCAAATAATAATTTTTCATCATTTATGATTATCTATAAAAGAATATAATGATTTGACATTTATTTTGATTTGTCAAAACTTTAAAACATCAACTTTCAAATTGAAAAAAAAAAATGGTTACAATTTTCAGAAAATTTTACATTTTTATCTTTCGTAATTTAATGTTTTCACTGAATTTTTTTAATATTTTAAGCAACTTTTTAAAAAAAAATTCGACACACCTAACGCAAATATACTTAAAAAGTATAATATTTGTGAAAAAAAATTTAAAAAAATACACTAAATACCAAAAAATACAAAAAAAAATAAACGAAAATTCAATACATATTTCGT